GACATGTTCACTAATTCTGTCTCTAATTTACATCAAGAAATTCTTATACTTAATAGTTTTAAACTGCACAACTTTTCTTATATACTATCTCTTATTTTTACTTTATCTGACTTAGTTCCTATTGATTTTATTTCTACTATTCACAATACTTCTATTCCTTACTGTACAACTACCTCACTTTCTATTAAATTTTTTCTTTATTTAAACCAATGAATTTATAAACAAATATGGATCCCATATTGTATTTCATGATCAGCTCAGTCTTCTATTATATTTTTTACAAACTTAACTTATAATTCTCTTTCTAATTTACTATTACCTCCTATTTCAATACCACAAATTATTATTAAAATTGATCTTTGGACTATTCAATAGATTAAATATCATATTCTTTCTCATATATTATTACTAACACCCAAATCTAGGTAAGCCTTACCTTTGCAAATAAGTTATGAATGTAATTTTTCTATTCTATAATAGTTATATAACAAATATAAGTTATGATTATTATCTGAACAGTTTAAAATTATGACTAAAATTCCTCTTTTTGTATTTCTAATCTTAAAAATAAAATTCAATTTTATGAAAAAAATTATCAGAATGTGAATTATGTAATAATGTATTAGAACTAATTAGTTATGTCACTATCAAAAACAATAATACAATGTTAAAGCAAGATGATATTTTGATAATTTCTAACTCATCAAATAATGAGAAACTAGAGATTGGATCAATGATTGATTTGTTAAACATGAATTTTGGTAGGTCAGGTGACTTAGGGATTTCTCATACTGTAATAAAAAGAAATGATAATATGGATTTTAATTCTATTGTAATCGTGGAAAATGAATTACGGTTATCTAATATGTTATGAGTGACATTAAAATATTCTTAATGGATATATTTCTGCAAAAGGTATGCTATTTTCATTGAGAATATATATAACCTGACTTTAATTATTTATACGATTCTCAAACAAATTATTAACTAAATAACCAAAAAAAAAATGATTAATAAAAAATACATCTTGCCTGTTTGATACTAAATATGTGATCCTCAGAAAAGAGTATAGACACAAAAAAGTAGAAATAAAGACTTTAAAAAACTTCAACATAATACTGAATCCATCCAATTATTTTGAATTTTTATAGCTTTATAATTTTTTTGTTGCTATTTTTGGTTATATTATGTATAGCTCACGAATTGAATTGCGGCTATATATTGAATTTAAATAAGCACCTAAAGCATATAATTTCACGAATTTTTAAATTTTATGAGAAATTTTTTTGCTTGCATAATTTTATCGTAGATGTTCGAATAAAATTTAAAACATTAAAGTAGATCGTTAACGATGTTTTTTATTTTGTATAAACTGTAAATTTAAAATAATAACAGCACAAAAATGAATACGGCATTATTACTACATATCTTGCATATCTGTGTAATTGACCAATCAAATCATGTTTAATTTGGAAGTTTCGACTAGTCCCAAATATGGTTTGGGTTACGACGCAATTGTAGAATCCGGTAAAAACCTTTGGGAATCTACTAAGCCCAAACTACCGGGTTTGGTTTGCATCGATACTTTGGACTTTCAAAGTCTGATTTCTTTGGCGGCATTCATTTTAATTACGTATCACATGCGTATCGGATCAGGGCTAAATCTAACAAATAAACTTAAAATTCACGAAGTGTAGTTTTTCCTTGGCAGCACTCAAAATAAGTACAATCTGTAAATCCGTGACACAAAGTTAAAGAAAACAAAAATTTACTTGATTTAAAGTTTAGTTAGAGTTTATACTAATATGTCACGGAAATGTTTTTGTTGTTAGGGCAACAAAGACTGTCAGTAAAATTTAAAGCTATGTATGTGTCTGTGTTTCAAACACTAGTGTACGAATCATTTAATAATACGTATCATTATATAATCATTATTAAAAAAATTCATTATCGTTATTAAAAAAATCATATCGTTATTAAAAAATCATTATCGTTATTAAAAAATCATTGTTATTAAAAAATCATTATCGTTATTAAAAATCATTGTTATTAAAAAATCATTAAAACTCTTTATTAATAAAAAAATTATTTTTAATTTTTTAAAAAACATTTAATTTTCGTAGAATGAAATCTGTAACTGGACTTAATAATTTATTGTTTTCATTCTGCAGCAGTTATTTGTACCACATACTTTGTTATATAGGACAGGAATGCATTGTTAAATGAAAGATTGAGATGATGTGCACATATCTAGATTTATTCGTACTATATTGTCACCTAACCTGTTTAAAATGGTTTTGCAAACAAAAAGCCACCATAATTGCGATAAAACTTTAAGATTTTATTATATCAATGAGTTTCTATAAGGATACTTTATACGGACATTTAAATACCATATGTGTATCGATCTAAATTTTTACAAAGAAAAATCGCTAACTAGTAATGCGATAAAAACTTTTATTATGTGAATGAGTTTCTATAAGAACACTCAAATATAAAATAATGTCACACAGCTATCTTATGTGTTATAAAAACGCTCAACGATGAATAATTTCTCCGTAACATGTTAAATTATCTTGTAATTATGGCCGAAGAGTTTTATTCTAAAGAAAATTATGAATATGGGGTATGTGCAAATTGCAAACGATATAACACATCGCCAGCTTGGTGCCGAAAATGTGACCCTCAGAATACAACACAAGGATGGACAAGTGGAAATAAGGATGTCGATGATTGTATTAGAGAATTTCAACTTAATGCCATAGAATATGAGAATGTAATCGAGTGGATTCCTTTTAATAAATTAGACAATATTCAAAAGAATGACGATGGATTTTCAGCAACCTGGTTAGATGGTGTACGATATGTAAATAGATATACGAATGAAAATAATCATGAGCATCGTAAATATGAATATGCACAGTCGCGTTCACTACCATGCATAATTGCACTTAAAATATTAGATGGCTCGCAAAGTATTCAAAAACTTTTGAAAGAAGTGAGTTTATTTTATTTCATTATATGTATTTATTTAATTAATAGTGTATATGCTTAATTTATATTTATATATATTTTTTATAAGTTTAAAAATCATATTCGGTTAGAGGGTAAAAGTATTTATGGATTAACTCAAAACACAATTACAAATGAATATATGTTAGCATTTGATAATTTTGGTTCTAAGAGAGATATGTGGAATGGGAAATGTGCAAATTGTAACCGATATAATACTTCTAAATCTTGGTGTCGAACATGTGACCCTCCGAAGACAACACAAGGATGGACAAGTGGAAATAAAGATATCGATGATTGTATTAAAGAATTTCAACTTAATGCCATAGAATACGAGGATGTAATTGAGTGGATCCCTTTTAATAAATTAGATAATGTTCAAAACATTGGTGATAGAGTTTTAGCAACCTGGTTAGATGGAATACGATATGCGAAGTCTGAAAATGAAAATGAATATACACAATCACGTATACCATCATATAAAGTGGATATTAAAACATTAACCAGATCGCAAAATATATTAAAAGAAGTAAGTTAAAGCAATAATTTATCATTGTTGCACAATATAAATAGCGTGGTTTTAATATATATTTACACGTTTAAAAGTTTGTAGGTTATGTAAAGGATAGTAAACTTAAAGTATATGGACTAACTCAAAACGCATCAAATGAGTACATGTTAGTATTTGATGAATTCAATTCTAAAAGAAAAAGTTGGCAAGGAAAATGTGCCAATTGCGACCGAAATAATACTTCTTTCGCTTGGTGTCAAACATGTGACCCTCAAAAAATAACACAAGGATGGACAAGTGGAAATGAGGACGTTGATAATTGCATTAAGGAGTTTCAACTTAATGGCACAGAATATGAAAGTGTGATTGAATGGATTCCTTTTAATAGATTAAATGATGTTCGAAAGATCGGTAAAGGTGGATTTGGCTCAGTATTTTCAGCAACCTGGTTAGATGGCAAAAGAGTGGTTTCAGGTGAAGATAAAGAATACAAACAATCACGTATACCGTCATGTGCAGTTGCACTTAAAACTTTTAGTTCACGAGAAAATTTTTTAAGAGAAGTAAGTTAAAATAACTTGTCGTGGCTGATGCTGATATTGGGGTCTCAAGTTGGATCTACTAAACCTATTAAAATCTGCATATTAACAATTCTAACCATGAATCCTAACCCAGCCCTAAAAAAGCTAAAGTCAATTCTCAACATCAGCCGATCTCAGCTTCAGCCGCGACATGACTTATTTACGATCTCATATAGATAAATTATTAACATTATAAATTTTTTTTTTATTTAACAAGTTTAAAAGTCACATGGAATTTAGATTAGCCGGTACTGTTCTTGAAGTGTATGGAATAACTCAAGACACAGCCAATAATGAATATTTGATGGTGATTCAATATGCAAATAGAGGAAATCTTCGTGATTTCCTATCTTCAAATTTTAGGGAACTTAGCTGGAAAAGTAAATTAAAACAACTTTTCGACATATCAAAAAATTTATCGACAATTCATAATGCAAAATATGTTCATGGAGATTTTCATAGCGGTAATATATTACAAAATCAATCTAACGAAGGAGAACTAATATCTTATATTGCAGATCTAGGATCATCTAGAAAAAAAGATGATTCAGAAGATGGCATTTACGGCGTTTTACCTTACGTTGCGCCAGAAGTGTTAAATAAACAACCATATACAATAGCTGCTGACATTTATAGTTTTGGTGTTATTATGGCTGAGATGACTACGGGAAGACCTCCTTTTTGTGATATTGAGTATGATGAAACATTAGCTATTCAAATATGTAAAGGGCTACGTCCTGAATTTGCCAAAGATACTCCTGAGTGTTATATCCAATTAGCAAATCAATGTATGGATGCTAATCCTTCTAATAGACCAACTACATCTGATATCAGTGAAAAATTATCAAGATGGTATCATATAGTATATCGTAATATCGCAAAAGACCAAGACCAAGATGAATTAGAGATATTAAAAGCATTTCAGTCTGCGGATGCAATTATTCCAACATTGTCAACCGAATTACCCGTTCATCATAAAGATAAATTTACAAGAAAACTGCTTAACTTTAAAAATCTTTCTAAGCCAATTAATTCTTTATCTGTAGAATCCCTAAAAATTTCTGGTGAATAATTATCTGATTACTAAGTTTTTATATTATAATTATATTTTTATATGTTATTTAATAATTTTAGTTACTAGTTTATAATGATATTTAAGTTATCTATTTAATACAGTCAATTAAGTATTATAAACAATAAATAAATTTTATTTAAGTTATGCACTAGGAAAACAGGCGCTGTTGTAAATCCGGAGTGAATTAAAAATTGCCCAATCATTTATATGATTAGTCACGTGGGAGGACAGGCAGATCATCGAGAATGATCACGTGCGTGAACACGGAAATTTTTTCGAAATTTTTCAATGTAATTTTTTCAAATTTCGAAATTTTTTGGATACAATTTTATCATGTGATCATAGAATGATTGGCTGTTAATTGGTTTAAACATGTGATTTCTGCCAATTCTATTATAGTTTCGAAATAAATCGAAACGTTTACTTAAATCGATCGAAATTTTTACTTTTAATTGAAAGAATATTTCCCTCAGACATCTAGTATGTGATACGTGATGATTATGCACGATCACATGGGTGGACAGACGGACGGACAAAATTTTGCTAGTGACTTGAAAATGTAAGTCCTCCGCTACGCTCCGGACTATACTTGCTGGCCAAATCCCAAACTACTATACTTTGAGTTTGTCCTCGCCAAATCCCAAACTCCGGCAAAATTAATATATTAAAATTTTTATTACTAATCTTCATTTAAA